TGATTTATATATCCAATCAATTCTATTACAAGAAATGTTTGTGAATTGTCTACATTGGAGATAAAACGTCCTTCGACTGATGAGTGACTCAAACAAATTTAGCTGGCAGAAGTGACGTGAATTTATTAACTAACCCTCGTTGTTTATATCTCGACTCTTTTTGAACACGTCGACTCATCGTTTAATCATGGATAGATAATTAGGCTTCTGGAATTGTATCCTGAAACCGGTTTGTCCTGCCTCAATACCTGTTTCTTGATCAATTTTATTCGAGGCCTCACCTATCAACCTTATATTTCTTGATTTTTTTTTGTGTGAATTTTTTTTCTTCTTTTTGTTGAATTATTTCTAACGTAACTGGTTAATTTGATGATAAAAATAAACGGACGAAAAAGAAAAAATAACAATATACCTCTTTTAGTGATATTAAAGGAACGAGTAAATTTCTAAAGTAAACTACTGTGAATGCCATCACGATTGGCACTGGTTACTCGTAATTTATTTCTCAACCAAGAAGCAAGATCTTCAAGTTCTGACCTACATCAACGGTATACCTTTTATATTCCCTCCATTACTTCTTTTTCTTCGGAAACATTTTACGAATTTTCCATTATCATGTTAGCAAACTTTCAATTTAGATATTGTTTTTTATTTATTACGAATATTTTTTTCCAGTTTATTGATTTTATTTTTAGAATAGAGTCATTTTGATTTGAGACAATGTTTAATTGATAAATATTTAACAAGTCAATGTTAATTAGCTGGAATTAATATGAGCTGTTAGTTAAAAATAAAAATGAATAATTCATAAGAAGAATAGCCTTGTATAATTTTTACCACTTTATTTTTCAAACAAAACCCACCTCTCTTTATTATCACTTTTATTATACCAAAAGTATCCTTTGGTATATACGTTTTTACAATTCTTGTTTTCCATGTTCAGAATAATTTAAGAATTGTTTATCTGAATGAAATAAATTTTATTTAAGTTGTATCCAAAAATCTGCATCAGAAGTCATTGAAATGTTTTTCCTCAATAATATTGCATTGGAATTAACTTGAATTTATTTTTATTACAAATAAATAAAGATTTTGAATGATCAACAAGCTTTCTTATATATTTTTATAATTATAAATTATAATCAAAACTTGACCTGCTTGGCTTGAATGTTTCGTCTGTGTGTTGCAAACGTTCAATTGATAGTAGTTCAATGCCATTAGCTTTGTGGCTTGGCAAAATTGGACGCGTAATAATGAAGAGCCATAACTGACAAGCCATCACAAGTATACCGAAGCGTGGCAAACCACATAATGCTTTCAGCAACATTGTGAGTCCACAAGAATACAATGGTTAAAGATGAACATTTTTTTCTTAATTTATTTAATTTGTTTAGCAGAAGAGAAAAAATAAAAAAACTCATTATCACAAATTGTCATCATAGCATTAAAACATATATTTGCTGAATTCTTCTTTTTTAATAGCAAGTTTACTATCTTATCGCCTTTTATAAGTCTTTCCATCGTTACATAACTGAAAAAAACGAAGCCGACATGAAGGCGCATATTAAGCTAAGCTAATCTTCAAATATTTATCCTGCTGCATTACGGCCCGTATCTCCTATGTAACGAATGACGCCTAGTCTAGGTGAAACGACTTTTGCCAACAGGATTTCCTAAGGAGAGTCTTCGTATGCACAGACCGTAGCTGTATGGCTTGCAAAATTCTAATATTTGTTAAGTACACATTAAAGTTAAATCATTATTATTACAACAGAAATCGTTGGATTTAATTACAAGAATTTAAAATGTGCGATAGTATTTAGTTTTCTACATTTGGAAATTTCATTTAATTACGCTAAATATCAATGCAAAATAGATAAATTCTGATTTAATCAATGAATGTAATGATAATCACTTGTTTTTCAAAGTACATAGAAGAATTAATTTGAGTTTAAAAAGAAAAATTAGCCCAAAAGTATAAATTTTTTATTTCAAAATCAATACAGCCAACTCAACTCAAAGCCAAATAATTAGACAATGCTAAATTAACTTGAACTGCTGGTATCATAAAAATAATCAGTATTTTATAAAATATGATTTTTGAATTTTAATTTGAATTTTATTTGAAAAAAAAAATGTTATTAAACTTAATATTAATTAATTGGGTTCATGATTGCTACAAATTTACATTTCTAATTCTAGTTACATAAAAATTTTCTTATGGTTTATTAAAGTTAACTAAAAAAATCAACAGCATATGTACTGTTCATGATTTACCACGTGCATCTATAATGTATGTACTTGATAAAATATTGAAGCTCAATTCAAACTTTGAAGTTTAAATACTTTTTCAAAGTAGTCCAATAAATATTAGTATCATTATAACTTTTATATTGTTCATATTTTCTTGGATATTGGATCCATCTATTTTGAAAAATATTTATTTATAACTACTGCTTATGATCAATTTACTTATAATGAAAAAATGAATTATTCATGGGAAAATATCAATTTCAGTATTAAAATATTAATTACTTAAATAGTTTCCAACAATTCGAAGCTTTGAAGTTATAAAAGATTTTAGAAACTTGACTTTATAAAGTTTCACGAAGATTTAATGTAAAAAACTATGTTCAGTCTTGCCTTATTTAGCTGGGATGATGAACAAAGATCCATCAAGTTTCAACCGAAATATAGGTCAGATTAATTTTTTTCCAGCATGAGTGGAATAATTATATCAGAAGCATTGAAAATAATTCATGTTTTTAGATATATCTATCAGGTAAATAACACTTATCAAGTATATATGTGATTATCATGATGTCATACTTCTGCATTCGCATGGCATTTTTTTAAATTAAAAATTATCCAACTTTTGTCTGAATGCAGTTTGCTTTCACTTTAACTTGATGACTAATTTCAAAAATACTTCAAAGATTTCATGATAAATCCATGATCATGAAAGTAATAATATTTCATAATTTTGTTTAAGCATTAGACCATGTTTAATTATAACCCATCTTCAATTATATTCCTTCTTCACACATTCTTAGTTTGCTTCAACATCATGAAAAAAAAGAAAAAAAAAACAATCGAAATACAATTGTTGAAAGAATAATTGTGAGATCTTAAAAATTCCTTTAGTCGGCAACTAATAGTAATTACAGTCTGTTAAGTTCATTGAAATCTTTTATTACACAAAATTGCTGTATTATTTCGTAATTATCTCAAGTATTGTTCTTATTAAATATCACCGTCGTGTAATACTATAACAAGTGTAAAGTAAGGATCTCAGAGAATCTTGATCAATTTGTTAAGAAAAAAAAATCAACGAAGGAAGTTACGTCGGTAAACAATTAAAAAAATTTATTTTTCAAGTTTTGCTGACTGTTGCATGTCATGAAGTGGAGATTGTACTTCAGATAAATTAAACGTGCTGCTGATACTATACTTGGCTGTACTTTAATGAAGATAACAACTTTGAAGTGCAATCTTCCTGTGAATTCTACCAAAAAAATTATCCATTAAATCACTTTATTATACGGTATATCTCTTGTTATTATTCATTTCTCACGTGTTAGGTTCTAATTGAAGTTAATGTACGAAGGTAACAATAATGGTAATCAAATGTAATTAATAAATTTTTAAAATATATACTAATATTACTATTGTAATTATTAGATTTAGTATTCTGCATGTATAGTCATGGAATGAATATTATTGTTATATATGGATTTATTGTAGTTGTAATCTTACTTAGAGATTGTAAATACAATTTCAACAAACATGACTACACGTCATTTCCTTCCAATCGATTTACCTTGCAAAAATGTATTTACATTCTATGGATACACAGATATGTCGGAAACTCACATCGATAATCAATGTGTGAATTTACTGGTGACAAAAACAAATATTTTTTCAAGACACGGTTTCTTTCGTGATTAATATTTTTCTACATTTATACGTGAGGGTTTGTTGTAATTTAATTGTAAGCAATAAAAGTGGAAATTTTTTAAAAAAATGGCTGTTGTAAAAATACTTTGAACGTCAATATTATTTTTCTTATGATTGATGTAAATTTTTCTAGAACGTGTTGATATAAATTTCAGAGCTTGAGATTTTCATTTGGAATAGGATAAAAAATTATTCAGTCATGTCTGAATCAATAATCACAACAATTGGATAAGTTTTTGCAATTAATGCATTCTGAAAAAGAAAAAATAGTTTTAATTTGTTTGAGAAATTTTTGTATCTAATAACGAATGATATTAAGAATTAGTATCTTAGCACTATACCTATGTCTTTTACTAAGGAGCATACTTATCTTCATCTTCGACATGTGTACTAATTTGAACAAAATAAAAAACTGCAGTTTGGTAGAGACGGTGTTTTTTTAAAGCAGTGTTCTTTCGTATATTTCATTAAAATTATTTTTCGTCATACCCGCACGGAAAGTTCACTTTTCCATTGGAGAGGGGTTGAACTTTCCACGCAGGTATGACGAAAAATCATATTCAGCCCTAGAGAAGACAATTAGACTAGCTTAAACCACGTGTTTACTACCCTCGCCTTCGGCTCGGGTTGTAATTTTACACGTGGTTTGAGCTAGACTACTTTCCCTCCCTAGGTGTGAAATGTACTATTTTGTTGTCTAACTTGAAAATTTTTCCATTACCAATTCATAAAATAGCATCCTGCTTATCAACAAAGTCGGCAAAAAATTTAATTCTCCATAATTAAGCAGAAATTAAAAAAGTTTGAATAAAGTTGAAAAAAATACCTAACTAAAAGATACAGAAGAAAAAAAACGTCATTCCGCATTTGTAAAGAAGTTTAATTACTGATGAATTGGATTAATTTTTAAACTTTATCGAACATCCTCCATTTTACTTCTGTATTTTTGAAGCACAATGAGCAAATTTCACTTGAATTACTTGTCTAAAATTTCCTTCTTCTAGAAAAGTAACTTAATTGCGATGGTAATTTGAATGTTTCAGGACAACGAGCAGCCGATTTCGTTTGCACACTTGGCGGATTATCAAATATACAAGATTCCGAACGCAAAGAAGTACTTCAACGCGCCCTTCCAGTGGGGCGCCTGTCTGAGGCCATCCAGCAACGCTGAAGCCGAAGACACGGAAGCTGGAGTATCCGGACTCAAGGTCATCGCTTTCAACAGTGAAAAATCACGCACTTGTTGGTTAACAGCCATGAGACTCGCCAAGGTAGTACTTTTTCAACACTTTCTTCCCTTTTATAAATCAAGGTTATATATTCTATTCTATTGAAACTTTTGTTAGAAATGTTCAAGTGTTATTCACTGATTTTTATCGTTAAATAGTTCTCAGTATAAAAGGGCAGGTTAAAGTAACGACGTCCGGGAAGTGCAGACTAGGTACGGATTGCCTCTACCCCATTATGTAACTCTTTAGGGGTTCTATTCTTTTCTCTCGCCCAAGTAGCGGCTCAGACCGCTCTTAAAGCTCGACGCAGTCTCTAGTGGTCTTTCTTCGTGTTCTTATAATCCATCAACGCGTCTTCGTCTTTAGTACTCTCCGGTGAGATAAGAAAAAATTACCAAAGCGAAAAAAAAAACAAAGAAAATATAAAGCGAATTTCGTTCAAAGGCATTGTTTCTTTTTACTTACTAATACGTAGCTCTAAAAAAAAGCAACTAAAAGGCAATGTCTAGCTTCCATCGTCGTTGGTATAGTCGCTTACTTTTAACTCTTTCTTCACCTCCTACATTATACCTTCCATCTCTTAACCTGTTCTTCAATGTCAGATCCTCTATACTTTCTTATTTTCTTCATCATTTCTCTTTTTTCTCTCAAGGTCTACGAATTACCTTTTATAAGGTCACGTAAAGTTTCACTGTGCGTTGAGTTTTTAATTTATATTCATCCCTCACAAAGTATTTTAATTGTTTGATACACCCATGGGAGGGACTTTGTTTTTATTAAATATTATTATTAAAAATATTACACGCGTTCATATTGTAAAAATTGTTCATCAAAAAAATTCAATTAAAAAGTATAGAGAGAGATATCGGAATTTTTTTTATTACAATTGTAAATGAAATAAATTGTTGTATCAAAATTATTTTAAAATTAAATATTCAAGTTTAAATTACATACCTAATATATATGAGTAGTTGGCACTGTAAAGAACAAAGCATTTTTTTTCATCTACAACTAAATACTTTTCGAATGTCATTTTTTGTCATTCTTTTGGTAGAGTTTGTATCTCATTTTAATTACAGATAGAAATAATTGTTTTGAACTTGTAGTGAATGAGAGAATTTTAATTATACATTTATCGAATAATATTAGTTTTTCTTTTTTCTTCTGCAATAAAATTGTTTTAATTAAAATTTTTAATCACATTACATTGGTAACTTTTTTTTGTCTAAAGTATTTTAAAATAATTAAATCATACATTTAAGCAATAGTTTCGATGCTATAACATGTATGTATACGAAAAAAACCTTTTTTAATTTGTTTTTTCCCCCCGGAGTAAAGTAAAATTCAAGTATCATGGTGGGCATACTGGCAAAGTGAAACCTTCCCCTTTCAACACTTGACGCTTATAATGACAACTTACGTAAAAAATAAAACAAAAAGCAAAAGAACTCACATTCTAGCTCTAGTTCGATACAGCTAGGGTACTCGGGTTTCATCTCAGCCAAGTATTTCGTGAAGGACTCTAAAAATTCAACGTCGCGACAGCTCTCATCATGCCCTAGAGCTATATCAACAAATCCCGTTGCTGATATTTCTTCAGATAAAAAAAACATCTCGCACTCAAATTAAAATACTTGTCACTCTTCACATTTTCCGTTATTATTTTTTTTTTTTTTCAAGTTTAATTAATTTTTTATTTGAATCTGTGTTAATTCCAATTTCATGTAAGATAATACCTTAGCAACGCCATGCACTAATCAGGAAACCATTCACCTAGCAACAAAGCTCGGGTAATAAACCATTCGTCGATAAATTACATAATACTTCGGTGTACGTTAGTCTAGTATGACTAGACTAGTCACTGGACAATGTAATTGATAACTCGTAAATGCATTTCTGGTTAATTATATTAAGCAAGTGAAGAATAATACCACCATTCTATTTATTTATTAGCTTTATACATCTATTTATTTTTATTAATTAATTCTTCTGTACGAAATAAAAAATATTTATTAAAAATTTACTAAAAATTTTATCGTGAAATTACAAAAAAGGGTTAATTGTAAATTATAGAAACAAGAAATTGATTCAATGTTTAATCTTTAATGTTCAAAAGGATACAAAATTCAATAAGGGTGTAAGTCATAGTTATAACAGAAATAATTCACTTAAATTACAACAAAAACTAAGTAATTAGTAAAGAATGCATAATGTGAAAGATAAAAATTAGACCAATAATATATAAATTATGGCCGTCTGTGTGTGTTTGTGTGTGCGTATGTGCGTTTGGAATTATTCTTCGTCTCGATTGGGCCTTCTGATTCGCACTTAGACCACTAATTGTACATAGAGAACCATTTCTAAAAAATTGAATCAGTTTTTTTTTTTAATTCAGTTATTTGCTATAAGATGATGTATTTATTTGAATAATTAAAGAGAAGCGGTATTCAACGAGGAGTTACTTCACAGTAAATAATGATAATTGATTAGTAACATCAATTTTGGAGTTGCAATAATTTCATCAACATTCGGTAGTTACGTCATACTAGAAAAATCAGGATGATCAGGATGATAAATATAATAACCAAAGTTGATGTAATATAATTGCATTGAAAATCTTTCCCTCACCTCTTGATGAATAATTCACTAATTATTTAGAATAGAATGAACCTTTTAAAAATTGTTAAAAAATTTATTATAATCTTAACCAACAATCAAAAAAATGAAGTAAATAGTTAAGTTACAGAAATATCTGCGTTTGTTGCAGTACGGTAAACAGCTTAAAGACAACTATCGAGCTTTCAAAAATAAAAGTGAACCAACGACTGATGCTAACAGTGGCAAGGAGCAATTCAGGACGTACAATGTCTCCAACGTAAGTAATTTATCATTAATAATTTATCTATTTTTGTAAAGCTATTCCTATAAATAATACCAAAAATGAAAGAAAGTAGTGACGAGTACTTACCGTGAGGTGAAGATCATAAAATTCTTTGAAATATTCGAGCATAAATTGAATGATTAACAACTTATACACAGACACCCATACTTATCGCAGCTTGCATAATCTATGAATCAAATGCCAAAGTATTCTTGATAATTGATTTTTACTAATACCTCAAGATGTAGAATGAAAGACAGGCAGAGAAGTTGCTACTTTGTTTAAATAAGTATTAAAGATTGTTCCAAAATTAAACTAAAAGTATTGATTTCTTTTTATAAATCAATTATTTGAAGGATGATATATAATTTATCATAAACTTAGCACCTGAAATAATTCAATATCTTGGTAATTAATGTTTAAAATCTGATAAACTAATAGAACAATGAATAAAGATAGTCTCTGATGATGCTTCTCGTGATCAATCGTTATCGTATCTTTGAGGTTCGGCGCAATCTTGCTGAAGTCTGACCTCGAGTTGTCGGAAATCGAGTTACTGAAAGTGGTCTCTCAGGGAAACTTTCCTCGTTACTTAGCTCACCAGCGAGGACTGGACGGTATCAAAGTTACAGACTGTTCGTACTTTTCTGAACTACTGCTCCTTATCCTCGCTCAGCTGAATAATGATATCGCTAAATTAATGGAAAATTCAAAATTTTACTTAATCTTTTAAATCACCAACCATTTAACAGTAGTTTTTTTTTGAAACAATTTTATGGAGTAAAATAATATTGATTAAATTTTTGATGCTTTACCATTTTTAACATTTTTCATCATATTTTAAATCTTGTAGGATCGAAGATTACTTCAATTCTTGTTTAATGTTGAGCCAATGTACTTTATTAACCTTAGTCCAACGTTAGGCAAGAAATGACCCAATTCTGTACCTAAAGCAATTTTAGACAGATTTCTCATTAATTAAAGAAGCAAACGAGCTTTAATAGTAATTTTTAATAATCTTATAAATAATCTTATAAATATCTTTTTATTCAATATACTTTTCATTTGAAACTAATGGTAATTGGTTCGATTTTTCAAATAAACAGTTTTGACATATCTCAAAGAAGTGATTACGTTTGTTGATGTTGAAGCTTTTCAACATAAATGGGTACATTTTTAAGAAATAAAATAATAATAAATATTGAGATTTTTTAAATGACAGTATGATAACAAAAATTTTTTTAATTAATGAAATATTTTGTTTTTGACATCAAAGCTTTACTGACAAAACTCTATTTTTCAACTTCTATAGAGTCTATGTCTTATTAATATCACTGGTCTATTCTAAGATGCAAAAAGCAGACAGATTGAAGGGTTAGTTATTGATAGAAGCACATTAAAAACAAGAATTTGAATATAATAATAAATTATTTAAAAAATTGATGTTTACCAATTTCATTTTGATACCAAGAAAATATTTTGATCAAATATGAATAATAATCGTAATACATGAAAATTGATAAATAAAACTCAGTGTCAGTTATTACGACTATTTTCCCTTCCTAATGATTCTGAATGCATAATACGAGTTATTATCAGTGACATTTCAAATTATGATTCAAATAATACAGGTCAATTGCATTACTTGTGGCCACATGAATAATTGAATTTTAGTGGTACAAACTGAAATATGATTTTTAATTAGAAATCAGCATCACATATTACGATAAAACCTTTTAAAGAGATTATATCAATAAAAAGTAACAAAGAATTGTAAGTTCTTGTTTTAAGGAAAAAAAAGTATTGAAAATTTATTATGGTATTAAGCAATGAATTTTTATCTAGCGTACTTAAAAAAGTATCAAAGCACTACGTAGTAATTTTAAAGTTATAAATTTTGATAATAGATATCTATGTGACAGATAATATTTTTCAGTGGACTAATACTTGGATCTATATCATCACTAAAAATTTCGTTTTATAACAAAGCGAAGAGGAAATATATTGGCAAAGTGCACACATCCAAAATGGCTATATTATCCAACGTGAGAGGACGATAATGGTGACGCTCGACCCTGAAGTAAATCTTCTTCTCCTTAAAAGTACCTATCTCTCTCATTTTATGATTCTTTCCTCTTGTCTCCGGACCACGAAGCACTCTTCTTTCACTTATCCTTTATCCTGTCTACGAGACGGTTTCTCGTCGTTGCACCATATCAGCTCATCTGCATTTAACAGCCTGCTTGCAGTAGCTCTTGAGTCGTTAAAGTTTGACGGCCGTTGCTGATGCTTTCAGAGCCGTTAGACGTCGTATTTCCTTTAACGATCGAGACGAACTGAAAACGATGGTGGGGTGGTAATATATGTAGATATAGAACATAGCAACCAACGTTGAACGGATTGTAATTTAAGCTTTCTAAATACGATTTAAATACCATTGATTCTTCATTACTACTCCTTTTGTATTTAATACCATTAATTTCAGTTATAAATTGGCTCTATAAATTTACTGGAATTAACGGAATCTTACCAAGAAATTGCCAAGAGGTTTTTTTATTTATTGAAAATGTCAGCTTTCGATAATATAAATAAATTATTCCAGAATTATTATGTCTATTTATGAATGAAAAACTGTTTATGATGTTTGGAATAAATTGTAATATTCAAAAAAGACTTTTTAATGACATTTATTAAATTTTATTAGTGATAGTGTTTTTAATGTCTTCTAATCTTTTTCATTTTCAATAAATCAGTTTGATTTTCATTATTTGATTTATCAATAATTTCATGCTTTTTCCAATAACTCCATTGAATAGTGTACTTATGTTATGACAACAATCACTAACAGTTTCTTTTCAGTAGAATGGTGATTTAATCTATAAGGCTGGCTAGTAATTTAGATATTCACAAGAACCTTCCAATGATTAAAGAGATTTTTATATTTCTAGTAAATCATATTTTATGCCAAATAATATTTTTCTGATCAACAAATCAATACATTGTTCATGATATTCCTAAGATGGGATGGTAATTATATATAAATAAAACAGTACTTTATGAAAAGTATTTAGATAAATTATAAGTTAAATTGAATGAATATATCTTTAGCATCAATCATTCTCTTTTCTGAGTATACTAAATTGCTATGTGAAATTTGATTTAACTGATTTCTCACTTACAAAAAACCAATTTTCGAAAGCATGTCTAGAACTGATGCCATCAGTAAATAGTTACCAATATTCAGGGAATATTAGCTTATTCATTTTCAGAGAACAATTTTATACTTTTTTGTAAAACAAGGTTTGATATTAGTAATTGTATTGCATATGACTGTAGTTGTTTTCCAAATTTAATCACTTAAAATCACTAGTAATCAGTGGATATTCGTTGATATCCAGTTTCAAGTCGACTACTGATTAAATCAGTAATTAATTTGACAGTGAAAAACAGCGAATAGATGTTGAATTAATTTTTACAAGAATCAAAGAAATTTTAAAAACATTATCAAAGATTATTAACGTACATCAATAAAAAAAACATTAACATCTTGATTCAGATTGTGATACTTGACTCAGAGAATTTTTCTGCATGTACCAATAAAGTTCCAATAAAGTTCCAATAAAGAATGAATTATAAGTTTTATCAAATACAATTAATAACTCTGATGGTCTTTGCATATTTATTGATTATAATCCAACAGTATTGAGAAAATTTTTGATTTTCACCTTATGAATCCTGATGATAGGCCAAGTAGTTGAGATTTTTTTTTTGAGTCTTCTGAATTTGTTGTTTCTGTCCAAGACTATTGAAGTAAATTCACATGGATAATAAGTTAGCTTTTTTGGTAATGTCTTCTTCAATTAATATCATACCAAGATGGTCATAAATTATATTATTCATCGTGAACTAAAGATCTGTATGACAAAAATAACGAAATCATTTAAAATGAGCGATCATTAACTATCTTCCAAGTTAATCATTGATCTAATCAGTAATACATCCCTGATTTTATCAATAGATGTGGTGCTGATAATCAATCAATAATCACTGACTTGAAACGATCTTTACTGATTCATTTTTAAAGAGTATGGAACCTGTGACCCACCAATTGGTATCAATTTTCTCCATCTATCTTTAACTCACATGCACGCCCTCTTTTTATCACTTACGATGGGTCATTCCTTCTGTACTCCTTTTGTCGATTTTTCACGTACCATCGAACGAGCTATTGGGGTGCGGCATCGGAGCGCGCAGCAGGCCTCGAGTTTAGTTGAAAAAAGAAAAGAAGAAAGAGTACATAGTCCGAACATCACAAGAAGAGAGAGTGGTGGACAAGAGCGAAGGGATGAAAAAGAGTGCGGTGCAGTGGCGCACTGAGCGGTTTTAAAAGTCGGGTAAAAAAGCCCGGCCGGCTGTTGCTACGCGCGAACTATCGACCGGTCTAGCTGTGCTTCTCTCCACCCCGCTACACTTCATAGGTATATCTACCGTAGGAGAACGGGCATTTCGCTCTCTCCTGGGGACATATAGCATAACCAAGGGCTAGAGAATATGAGAAACGAAACATGTACATATATATATATATATGTATATTATACACTACATACATACAAATACTTAAAGCTATATGGGTTTATGTGTATATAATTTACAGACAAATTGTAGACCAATGTATAGAAATAGAGTATATCTAGTCTGGTATTTTTGGTCCACACAAATATTTAGTTCGGTTTCCCTTTTTAGTGTGGTACCTGCTTACGTTATTCAACCAACCCCTTTCATCATCCTGAACAATTTCTTCCTTTTATTTTGATTTTATACAGTTCTTGTAGTGACAGTAGAGGGTTGCGATTTTGCAATCCAATGCTGAGTCATAAAAATAATCATAAACCATACTTGTACATGTGATACACGTACTTATTGGTTATTTTTTCTTATTTATTGACCTTCATTTCTTCTCGTATGTTTTTCTCATATTCTGACATTAAATTTTT